AACGACCTACATTTGTCATAACACATAACACGGGGCAAGTCATGCCCGAGAACTGGCGATCAAAGTGCAAAAGCTCAAAATGACCGGTCGGGTCGTTACATGAATGTCCATATTTAGAGAAATTCTAGGGTTTATTATTTGGTGGCTAAGTCAACCTCTCCCTATAAATAGAGGGCTCTATTCCATTGTAATTCATCCCAATATCAATAAGAATTCCATTCTCTTTACTTTTCTCTGCAATACTCTTCTTCTTCTTTTATTGTTGCATAACAGTTTTCCTTTTTTAATCAAACCCTCTTTATTAGGGATATTAATTGAAGAAGAAGTATCTCCTATTAATTCGTTTTTTCTTTTTATAACCTACAACAATCACTCTTTATTTGGGATATTAATTGAAGAAGAAGTTTCTCATTTATTATTCTCTTCCCTTTTCCCTTTTTTGTCATACGGAAATTTATTTATTTATTTTAAATAATCTTTTGATTTACAATTTTATCCAATTTCGAATGCACTTATGAAGGGTAAAAAAAAGCCGAACGACATTTCACTAAGAGCCTTCGTGCTTTTAATATAACTAGTCTCTATGTATGTGCCTCGCACGTAATGCTTTAGGACTAAAATAAAGATGAGAAATAAAAAAAAAAGGTAACGAAAGATATTAGATATTAAAAGTGTATAACAATTGAAGCTCAAAATAATTAAAAATATTTAAAAACTTGTCATAATAATTGAAAAGGATTCACCTGCTTTACATTGATAAAATCTGTTATTTTAGAATCTCTAAAAATAAAAATAGATAATTTAGACACTTCTAATTTTAAAAATAGGAGTACAAGAATGTCTTAGGAAAATTTGATAAATATTGACATACCTAAGATTTATAATTAAAAAAAAACCTTGAGGGAATATTGCTATTTCGCTAATAGAATTGACATGGAAATCAATAATCTTTCTCTACATTTTGATTTATTAATAAAAAATGTCATGAAAACACATTGCTATAGCCTTAGTATGAAAAAATATAAAACTCTGGTGAAATATTTTAATGAAGCAATAACACCTAACAATTCAATATATCATGAAAAAGATCATATAATACTGAAATAATTATTAACTAATGGAGTTTGTCTAGTGGTATAAGGAATCCTTTTGAAAATGCTTGAGATTATCCTTGTACGAATTCAATGCCTAAATAGAAAGCTCCAGTAGTCTATTGACCATCTATGTCAAATAAACTTAATTCTGGTAAAAATAATTTTTTCACATTTTCTTTGTTCAAATTCTTCTGAAAAACATCTTTGGTGAGTAAAAAAAAAAACCTTGTTGCTGATCTTGAAAAGAGTTATAATGCGTAGGTCTCTTTAGTTTTTATCTCAAACCTTTAATTGAGCTTCAAATGGAATTCAGTCAATATTATCCCGTGATACAACCACTGTAATACCAATTCAAATGGTGGAAACTCGTTTATTTAAAGTGATAATATAGTTTTTTGAAAAATAAATTGAAACTTTGTCAATATTTAGATTACAAAAATAACTTTAGCTTTTCGTTCATGTTGAATTTTAGTATCTTAAAATTGATTAGTGGACGAAGAGTTGTTTGAAGTTGTGCCTAAAGAATAAGTGTTTGAAGAACTTATTCCCCAAAATAATAATGTACGTAAATTTGTATAATAAGGAAGGACTCTTTGATCTGGAACCAAAATCCATAAGCGTTATTTGTTTAGAACTCTATGTTAATTTGATCGTGCTATGTCTTTTTATTTAGTAAAATAACCAATATATTAATGGTTCAATTAGATTAAAAGAGCGCATAAAGGTCGGTCAATATTTTAGGGATATTTTTGTCGTTCAACATTTAGTATCCAACATTCGTGTTTTTATAATAATATAGACTAGTTTCTATGAACGTGCGTTGCACGATAACAATTGCATGTTGATATTTGATTACTAACAGCTTGTTTGGATGGCTGTTACCTATCGTATCGTATCCTATTGTTACTTTAAATACAATGTTTGTTTTGATTGTTACTTAAATTTTATTGTATCGTATTGTTAAATATGTCGTTACGTAACGATGAAATGTGCCACTTTATGTAACGACCGATTTGGTGTGGTCGCGTCGTTTCCTTGTGTTTTTCTCTCAATCTCACCCTTCATTATTATTAAATAATTTTATTTTATCATTTACCCTACCTTTTTATATACCGTATCATAATTTTTCTTTATAATATTGCAAGTTTATTCATCATATCACAGGTTCGTGATACCATGAAACGACGCCAAAACGACACAATTCATCCAAACATTGTATTCATCAAACGATACATTACAATACAATACGATACGATACGATACATTATGAAACGATACGTAACAACCATCCAAACAAGCTGTAAAATTTTTGATATTCATACTTTTCAAATGTTATTATACTTACATAATACTTAAATTTTAAATGATTCTACATTATCGTACGAACTTGCGAATGATATACGTATTTATAGAAAAATGAGATATAGTCGTATCTACCTAATATTCTTTATATATATGATATTTTTGGTGTTTGATCTCTTATAATACTTTATTATAATTAAAACTCTTGCTGTCGATATTGATCTCTCTCTTGAAAATATAATATACAATAGTTATTGTATTAAAATAAGTTCCATCAAATATAGTCCGACATTTAAACTTATTTTGTTATGTATTTAATTTACTATCATTGTAATACACAAGCGTACGTGCAATTATTTCCAGATATATTTAAGAGGATATCCTTCATCGTCTATGATGAAAGTTGAATTTTGGGGATAAACACATGCTTGAAAATACATATGTCCATTACGGTTTTTACAGAATAAGAAGATCAAAAGAAAGACTAACCCTAATAATGAGCAATAATGCCAAAAAATTAAATTTAATGTAGTTACATTCCTGTGGTGTTTTGGTCTCAATTTTTATAATTAAGTTCTATTGAAGTGAAATATTGTCTTATTAATTTCTTTTTTTATATTTTTAAAATGCGCTAGTGCATAGATGACTAAGTCAAAGACAGTTTTTCCTACCTATTATGGTTAGATTATAAATTGAGGTAATAAATTTAGTTTGGAGAGAAAATTTGTCTTACTTTTATTTTGGTTTAAATGGATTAATTTTTTAGAGTTTAAAGAGCAATGTTGAGTAGAAATTAAATTATTTGATTAGATTGAGCATGAAGGAGTCCTTGACTAATAAAATTTGTGACAAGAAATAAAGTTCTAAAACTTTTACAATTCTAAACGTACAAACTGATTGTGATAAATAACAAAATCAGGAACAATTAATGCTTGTAAATATGACAAATCCTTTTGCATGTGCGTAGAAACTTTTTTGTGCCAACGTTTCTCATATAAGTTATATTATAATTCTAAATGTTATAATTATTTTATCCAATTATGGAGTTGTTTCTTTGCAAGGAAACTTTATATTTTAGAAAGAATCGAATCCAAACAGAATAAGGTTACTTAGTCCTGACCCAAAATTATATTTATACCCATTATTAATTGCTAGATAAAGGAAATATTAACTTTAAAGGGCAAAAAGGTCGATCAACTTTTCGAAGATATTTTAGTCTCTTAACATTTAACTTTCTTACATTTGTGCTTTTATAATATATATATATATATATATATATATATATATATATATATATATATATATATANAAATATAATATAATAGTATAAGATAAATATGCTATAACAGATTTCATACTTTTGTTATAATTGACTCCTATATTATATAGTACATCTCTCATCTATTTTTGAATGGCTGCATTTGAACTGGGGTAGATTTGGCTTGGCTTAATTTTAGGGATGTTGAGATATTTTAGGAAAATTTGGTTGTTTTTGAATTGTAGTCGATTTACTTAAGCTTAAATTTAGGGAATGTTAAAAATTCTGTTAAATTCTGCTACAATTTTGGAATCTTCATTTAGTATAGGTTGAATAATGTCCGTAGAGAGAAATTCTTTTAATTTACAATTAAATATATATTAANTATATATATATAAAATCCATAGAGGAGGCTCCTATTTATAAGAAAGTTGCTTGGTGACCAAGTAACTTATTTTGGTGGTCAAGTAATAAATCTTGCTGACCAGGTAACTAGACTAGTTCATGACTAACTAACTTGCTCCTAAGTAATTTCATAATACACGGACATTTACTCTTAATATTATTTATAACACCAAATATTTGTGTTCTGCGAAGCAAGTATTATAAAGCAGTCCATATAATAACAACAGCTAAAATCACTATGGTTCTAAATACCAACACTTACTTCTCCTTCAAGTATAATTTCTTTTACTTAGTAACATACAATATTTAGCTCTATATCTCCGAAAAATGTGGCATGATAATTGTAGTTTTGAAATTTCACTATCCTTAATCAAATGTTTCGAATTCTTTGTAGGGTGCATTTTATTCCCTTAATGGAATTACCTCGCACAAATCTAATTCCAAATAACAGATGGTTAAACAAAAAAAAAAAGTACATCTTTGATGATTCTTGCCTGGAAGTCAAGGGTGGTGGAGATTTAAGATAAAAGAAATGTATACTATACGATTAACCAAACACCAACATGTAGACCCAATGTTACTTCCGAACATTGTCAAGAGGACAAATTAACAGTATAAGTATTATATTTGGCTGTCCATACATTTTTTTTTTTGGGGGGTAAATAAAAAAGGACTGGAGAATTGCTGAAATTGTAATAAGACTGGAGAAAAAAGATAAGGAGGTCCGTTCGCATACTGGCAAAAAAGAACAAAAATTTTGTGACAAGCTTTACAGAACCTTCTAACTGTTAAAATGTTGCGTGTAACGACGTTTTTCATGACTCATAGAGACATATATATAGTTTAACCATAGTCAAAGAATTATGAACCAAAAAGAAAATTTTGAGGTAAGGAACAAAAATTGATTGAAGAAAACAGTCAATAGGGAAAATGCAGAAAGATGAAGAAAACACTCACTCTGAAAGATGTTATGAAGCAGATGCAAGAAAAGCAAACACGAACCCACTGTTGCTTAATCAAGTACTAGTTGATCAGTGCAATGTGCAATAGATACTAGTTGACAATCTGATCAACAAAGTAGCGGAGATGAATCATACTGTTTAATATAAACATCAGAGGAACTACATATATTGCTATTATTTCCTAACTAAAAGGATGTCAAAAAGTTTTTCATGCCATCTCCGTTGTTAGCAAAAAAAGGGGCAGCCAAAATGTCATTCATGCAATACTACTAGTAGCAAAGGCAGCCTGCTGAGGATTCTTAGTGGTAAAGACCTTCATATTTATGCCAGCCCTACATTATCAAGAAAAGGAATGTCAGTAAATATATATATCTTTTCTTATCAAGTTAAAATTATATTGATTTGAGAGATAAATCCAGCATACAAGGTATATACAACAGGTAGAGCATGCTTCCCCACAAATAGCATCCATTCATCAGCACTAGTTAAATATCAAAATTACTCCAAAGATAGACAGAGACAAAAATGTTCCACTAAACTATACTACCAAAGATTTTTTTACTCTTTCAAATGCTCTCCTATTTCTGTTTTTACGTACTGTCCACATTAACACCAATGGAGGTCCTTCGCATGCTCTCATTGTCCTTCTGAATTTCCATACCAGTAGCTGTTGAAATATAAGCTAGGCTTTTGATGAGATATCACAAGTCACAAAGAGAATGGAAGATGGAGATAAAAATAAGAACACTCTTGATACTATTTAACTACTTCACTATTACATAACAACATCAACTAAGGGGTTTTATAGGTGCCAAAGTGGACCTCTGGACTCACATCTACTAAATACTTTTCTTGGTCACCTTGAAACATAAAAATGAACCTATGTCATACTAAAAGATAATGTACCTGGAAATTGTAAGCATCCCATTGGTAATGCTAATACATAAACCTAAAACTTAATTTCTAGAAAATCAAAATCATATTTCCAACAGAAGCACCTCTGTTACAGTCCATGCCGCTACTTATTTCTACTCCAAACATGCTCCTCAAGCCATGCACCAAATAACTAGGAATGTTATGTCTAGAATAAGATCTGAAAGTTATGACAAGTGAATTCATTTATTGAAGATTGCAAGACACAAGTCAACCAAGGAGCTTATAAGCTATGGGAAAACGAAGCTGGAAACTCAAGCTGAGAAAGCCCAAAGAGAACAACTTGAATTAGAAAATAATTAAATGAAAAGGAGATTGTTTCATATGAATAGAGGACTTCTTATGCTGACTGTCAACTGAAGCTATATCTTGGAGCATTGAAAAGTTAAGATATGGATGTCTCATACTCCACCAGTAGCTAAGCCTTTCATTGAACATAAGCTTTAGTTCATCAACATTAATATCTATCAGACTATCATCCATACTTGAATATACAAGTATAAAGTTCATAAATGAGGATTTTTTTTTAAAACACTTAACCTAAAACAAGAAAAAGAACATTTGAAAACGCAACAGCTCTGCAATTGACTAGAAAGGTAACAGAATTGTTGCAATTCCCTGACAGGACATGATTCTATTAGTTTTCTTTTGAAGCCTTGGTGCTGTTAATTAGTGCAATCCGGCAATCCAAATGCATTATTTCAGAGAAACTATGTTTTCCTGCTCTTTCTTACACGTACATAATGGTTAGAATGCTTATGGAACCAGATGCCTCAGAGTCCTATAGCATCAGTAAATAGAAAATTTTATATCAGCATATAGATATAAAACTTCAAGGATCTAGCAATCATATTACTACGTCTATTGACCTAGTTGTCTCTTCATAACGAAATCATTGATTATTGACCTCAACACAACTGATGCTCCAACAAGAAAATACTACAAAAGCTGAAATGTTTCTCTGATCATTTAAAATGTTTCTACTGACAAAAGGGAAGATTTTATATTGTTAGAAAATAAATGGGGTGAACAGGGAAGTTGGGATCTTCTGGAAACACTCTCGACACACACGATGCACCTTTGAAGCCAAGCCTACTTCTTTTTCAAACAATGCCCACTATGCAAGACATGAAAGGGAGAAAATAGCTTCTAGTGGGACTTGATTTTTAAAATTGAATTGGAAAACAACCCACTTCCATATAACAAAGAAAAGGAAGCACATTTATTCTAGATAAAGAAAGAAGACATAGAATTATCTTTACACAGTCACTTGTATAAAGGTAACACCAAAAATATGGGGACACAAAGAGAGTAGCTTTTTCCAGATATTCATGATGCTTCAAACGAATAGCTGCAAATACCGTCTCCTCTTACTACTCATTCTGTCACAGGAATCAAAACTGTGAGAAATTTTCAATAACAAGAAGATGAGCACACACAGTTGTGTGACAAAAATGACCTAATTGTGGATTTCTTGTTTTCCGTTACTCTTTTCTTAGTATTTACACTTTCCATAATGGATCCAAATTCAAGCTGAAAAGCTAAAGAGGCCAAGAGAGGAAATATAGTTCTCTTAATCTGTTCTTCTTTTGCTTGATAGTAAGTCCGTCTGCAACATCAAAAGAACTCTTCGAAACCGATGCAATTGAAAGAAGCTAAATGGAAACCAAGGCAGGGCAAAAGTGACACTTCATGACATACTTGAATTATAATATAAGCTAATCTTATGTAAAAGAAAAGTTATCTGGGGAAATAAGAGAATTGCATGCAGTGACAGAAATTCATGTTATAACTGATTTCACACCATGAAGTTATGCAAGAGCACAATTTATCAGATGGAAGACAGGAAAAAAAAAACCTTGTTAATTGGGCATAAATGCTTTCCGAAACCACAGCAGCAACTCACAAGCATCTCTACTAATTGCGTAGAATAAAGTAAGCAAATCATAGAGTAAGTTCACACAGTAAATTAACCCATCATAGTTTCACAGTTGGTTAAACATATGCACATGATAAGAACAAAACAAAGGAGAACATCTCAAAGAGGGAGTTGACAAACACCACAAAGCAAGCCATAAAGTAACTTAAAATATAGACAAAAGTTGATCACCGTACTTTAGGAGGTATTCGCGTGCTAATTTGCCTTCAGCAGCTTCCTTCTTAACTGGTAGCATCCCTCCAATCAGAACTAGGCTCTCTGAATAGTCAAAAATCACATACGAGCCCTTCTTAGCATTCTCAATGCTGAATTTTGCCTTTACTGAACTAGTCACTGGATCAAACAACAGCACCCCGTTTTCATCCTCCACTACAATGTCACCATTCCTCAAACAGCCCAATGTTCTGTCAAAACCAAATGTTATTCCAACATTGCATTTCTTGCTCCAACCATCTTCATCATCCATTACCCAAACATTAACATTATATTTGTCTGTTTTCTCCCATATTAACATACCAAGAGAATCCTCTAAATTCACAGGATACCCCTTAGTCCCCACTCTTATTCCCGGCATAGGTAACTTGTCAAATACTTTCTTACTCACATCAAAATACACCAACACCTCACGAGATCCATGCGCATCCTCTACTACGGCTCTCCAATAAGGTACCCCTTTAATGATCACATTGCAAATAAGCCCAAGAACACGAAACCCCACCTCATTTTTCAGCTTCTTCCAGCTGAAACTCTTAGTCGAACACATTTCCACTTCATCCGGAGCTCTAGTTTCAGCTGGTCTGAAACACAAGAGACTCAAGATCAAGAAATCATTCTCTTGAGAATCATAAGCCAACCCTACGGAAACACAAGAGTGAATTCCCATAAGGGGTTTGGTCTTTGAAAGCTTTATCGTCCTATACTGCCTCATAGCTGGGTTCCAAAGAGTAATCATCTCACCCCAAGGTGGCTGAGAAAGGCATACAATGCCATTGCAACAACCCACAACCAACATATCCTGAAAGTATGAAGGAAAAGGGCTATCCAGTTCCACAACTGGTGATGATTCGGGGTGCGGGTCAAATAGCGAGAGGACATGATCAAAGGACTTGATATGGCGAGTATGTATAAAAATGGGTGAAGTACAGGTGGCACTCTGCAAAGAAGAGGAATGGCGGAAATGGGTAGCTATGAAGTTGGGTTTGGAAATGAGCTTTTTCCATGGCTTGCAAACGCAACTGAATCGTAAAAGGGTCTTCACAGGGAGACGAGAAAGGATATTGGAGATGATTTCTCTAGGGAAAATGCAGCTGGATGTTGGGTCTGAAAGTGTATTTTTTGTTTTCTTGGAGCTCCCTTTCCCTTTTCCTTTCTTTTTCCCATTTCCTTTGCCTTTAGAGGGCGGCATTTCAGCTGGGTAGTAGCTGGAGGTTGAAGATGAAGAAAAGCCTTTGTGATCGACACAAAGAACCGGTAAAGAAGAGGGGGAAAGGGTTCTGCTTATAACAAGGCGAAAAAGAATTTGTGGATATTATAATTTTTAATTTTTTTCTCCAATGGAATACCAAATCTTGTACGTGTATCTTCACACCAAATTTAATTTATTATTATTTTATTCATCTTTTTATTTTTTTGGACTTTTAATTTATCATATATTGTATATATAATTAATTTTTATATTAAGATCTTTATAATTTTAATTTTATATCCTATTTTTCTGATATATTAATTTTTGTATATATTATATTTATATAAAATTATAAGTTAATTTTATTATTATTATAATTGTATAAAANATAATGTCCGTAGAGAGAAATTCTTTTAATTTACAATTAAATATATATTAATTATATAAAATAAAGATAATGATGTTGTATAATATGTAAATCAATAGCTAGTTGCAAATGATGAAATATACTATCTAAAAAGTTGTAGTTATGTATTAGTGGGGTGTATTAGTTAGTTGGTTTTACAGCTATCATTCATTAGGCTTAGACGTATATATACGACTCTTGTAAGTACAGAAGAAGAACAATGAAGAACTAAAATTCTGCTCTCTGTTTTGCTTCTTCTTAATCTCTTCATCTTTTTCACTCGATTGCAATTACGGACAGCTCAATTCACCAATTCATGGAGATTTAACATGGTATCAGAGCCCTAATTGAGTGAATCTAGGGATTTTTTCTGATAACAGTTGAAGGTCAAGAGATTACTCAGGTATTTTCTGGTGAATTCTGAGTTTTGCTTCAGTTTCGGGCCCTAATTCTCATGGCGGTGGATGATGCTACTACACAAAATGTGATTGTGATTGATCACAATCACCCTCTGTATTTGCATGCTTCTGATTCTCCGAGCTCACTTTCGATCGGGATGCCTCTGATCGGAATGGAGAATTACACCCTATAGCGACAAGCCATGGAGGTTTCTTTGCTCACCAGAAATAAACTAGGCTTTGCTGATGGAACAATTACTAGAGACACTTATGGACAGAATTTCGTTAATCATTGGGATCGCGGCAATGCCACGGTAAAATCATGGATAATGAATAATGTTAGTCGAGATTTGCTTAGTGGAGTGTTATTTCGTTCTAGTGCTCATGCTATTTGGGAGGATCTGAGAGAGCGTTTTGATAAGGTGACAGCTTCTCGCATGTTCTATCTACATAAAGCAATTTTCACATTAACACAAGGAACTTCTTCTATTTCTGTGTATTACTCTAAGTTGAAGGACCTATGGGATGAATACGACTCACTGATGCCGCCTCCTTCATGTGAATGTGCAAAATCTAAGGAGTATGCTAATCATCTGCAATACCAGCGCTTGTTACAGTTTCTTATGGGCCTTAATGATGGATATAGTCAAGCATGCAGCTAGATTTTGATGAAATCTCATGTTCCTAATGTTAATCAAGCATATGCGATGTTGCGTCAAGATGAGAGTCAAAGACAAGTAGCAGGAGGGCATTGTGTGTTGACTGAAAACATGGAACCTACTGCTCTATTCACTACTAAACAGTATGCTCAGAAGCAAGGGAAGAAGAATTATAATCTGGAGTGTGAATATTTTCACGTAAGAGGACATTCCAAAGAGAATTGCTTCAAGTTAATGAAGTGTGATTTTTGCAACATAAAAGGACATTTGAAAGAAAATTGTTATAAAATCATAGGATATCCTTCTGATTTTAAGTCAAAAAAGAGAGGTGAATTGCCGAGTGGAAATCTAGCACAATAAGATGGATATGTTGCTCCTACTCATCGTCCAGTTTCACCTATGACAGGACCAGTTTTTACACCAGAACAATACTCTCAAATCCTCAACTTGTTGAATAAAACTTCAATTGGTGAACCTAGTGCAAATATGGCAGGTATATCTCTTTCTGATTCCAGTTCTAATCCTACTTGGGTAGTAGACACAGGAGCTACTAATCATATGACAGGTAATGAACGGTTGTTGGTTGATGCTACTAAAGTAGGAAATTCAGGACAAGTTCAAATGCCTACTGGAGAATCTGCTCAAATTACTCATGTAGGAAATTGCCATTTATCAGGAGGTGATTTCATCAAAGATGTTCTATGTGTACCAACTTTTAAATTCAACCTTTTATCAGTTTCAAAACTGACTAAAGCTTTACAGTGCTTTGTTAGCTTATATCCTGATTTCTTTATCTTCCAGGACCTCTTCGCTGGGAGGGTGAAGGGGATTGGTAGAAGGGAAGAAGAGCTTTATATCTTGAGACCAAAAGGAGATGCTACAATCAAGGAGCAGATGAGGTCTTTGGCAGTAAAAAGGATCACAGATTCAGAACTGTGGCACAAGAGGATGGGTCATGTACCTATGGCAGTCTTACAAAGAATTTCTACTTTGAACGATAAATGTAGCATTACATTGGATCATTGTAGCATATGTCCATTGGCTAGACAAGTTAGATTACTATTTCCCCATAGTAGTACTAGTAAGGCTGTTGCACCTTTTGAATTGGTTCATATGGATGTTTGGGGACCTTACAAAGTTTCCACTTACAATGGCATGAACTACTTTCTCACTCTTGTGGATGATTTCTCCAGATGGACATGGGTTTTTATGATGCGTGTGAAGTCTGATGTGTCTACTTTGCTTAAATCTTTTATAGCCATGATTTTAAATCAGTTTGAGAAGAAAATCAAGGAATTTAGATCTGACAATGGGCCAGAGTTTTTTAATAATGTATGTGGTGAGTTGTTCAAATACCATGGGATAGTTCATCAGAGTTCCTGCCCTTATTCACCTCAACAGAATGGGGTTGTTGAGAGGAGACCTGCATATCCTTGAGACAGCTAGAGCTATCAAATTTCAGGATCATTTGCCATCCAAGTTCTGGGGATGTTGTATAGAAGCTGCTGTGTATATCATTAATAGGGTACCTTCCACTGTTTTGGGGAACAAGTCTCCATTTGAGGTGTTATATAACAGATGTCCTTCATTGTCTCACTTGCGAGTAATAGGATGTCTTTGTTATGCAACAACATTACCTAAACAAGACAAATTCAGTCCTGGAGCTACTCCTTCTGTGCTACTTGGCTATGGAACTTTTCAGAAAGGTTATAAGCTATATAACATTGAGCATAAGACAATTTTTATTAGCAGAGATGTTCTGTTTCATGAGAACATCTTTCCTTTCTATTCTCAGACCACAGACCAAGACTTCTCTTTTCCAGTTCTATCAATCAATTCTGCTCCACCAAAAGATTCTGTTCTCATTCCATCAAACCAGCCACAAGCAATAACCTCATAAGAAATAGCAGTTCTTGATAATGCAATCTGCTTCCCTCACTCCAGATTCCTCCTCTTCTACTCCTATATCTCTTCCTGATTCAGGACCATTACTAGTTTCTAATCTAGAACCACCACACAGAAAATCAGGAAGGGTGTCTAAGCCACCTATTTGGTTGAAGGACTTTGTTGTTCCTAGCAAAACTGCCGCTGCTTGTCTCTACCCACTGTCTAATGTTGTTAACTATGATACTTTGACACCAAGGTATCAAAGTTTTCTCACTAAGTTTTCTGCCCCAGACCTATGCACAGGCTGCTAAGGATCCCAGATGGATTGAGGCTATGCAAGCTGAACTACAAGCTTTGGAAGCTAACAATACCTGGGAGGTAGTGCCTTTGCCTACTGGTAAGAAGGCTCTCCGCATGTTTGCAGGCTGTTTAAATCTTTGTATGGCCTTAAACAAGCTTCTCGGCAGTGGAATCTAAAGTTAACTTCTGCTTTACTGTCCTATGGATTTGTCCAAAGTCATTTGGATTATTCTCTGTTCACGAAACAGTCTCAGGGAAAGTTTATTATAGTGTTGGTTTATGTCGATGATCTTTTGATCACAGGTGATGACTCCACTATGATCCTTGAAACTAAGGCATGCTTGCAGTCTAGTCAATCAAAGACCTTGGTGAGATAAGGTATTTCCTTAGGATTGAATTTGCTTGAAGCAAGGATGGTATTGTTATGCATCAACGAAAGTATGCCCTTGAACTGATATCAGATATGGGCTTAGCTGGAGCTAAGTCAGTGGGTGCTCCTTTGGAGTTTAATTTGAAGCTGACATCCTCAGAGTTTGATGCACATGTTGGGGTGACTGATGATGTTCTTCTTGATGATCCTAGTATATATCAGAGACTTTTAGGCAGGCTGTTATATTTGACTAACACACGTCCTGACATTAGCTTTGCAGTTCAGTGCTTAAGCCAATTCATGCACTCACCTAAGGTCTCTCATATGGAAGCTGCTGTACGATTGGTTCGTTATATCAAACAGTCTCCTGGAGCTGGGATCCTCCTATCCTCTGCTTCTTCTTCTTGTTTAGTTACTTATTGTGATGCTGATTGGGCTTCATGTCCAAATACTCGCAGGTCTGTTACAGGCTACTTTGTCAAATTTGGCGATTCTCTTGTTTCTTGGAAATCCAAGAAACAAACAACTTTCTCTAGAAGTTCTGCCGAGGCAGAGTATAGAAGTCTTGCCTCGACAGTTGCTGAGCTCGTGTGGTTGCTTGGATTGTTTAAGGAATTGCATATGAGTATTCAGCTGCCGATCTCTCTATATTATGACAGTAAATCAGCCATTCAAATTGCTGCTAATCCAGTTTTTCATGAACGCACCAAGCACATCGACATCGATTGTCATTTCATACGCGAGAAAGTTCAGCAAGGGTTGGTCTGTCTTCATCATTTGAGTTCCTCTGAGCAACAAGCTGATGTTCTTACCAAAGGACTCACTCAACTTCACCATCATTATCTCCTATCCAAGCTAGGCATGAAGAACCTCTTCATATCGCCTAGCTTGAGGGGGGGGGGGGGTGTAGAAGAACTAAACAGTACAGCTATTACGTGACTCTAGTTAGTTGACCATGGTCAATTAGTTAGTTAGTTGTTTGCCTAACTTATGTGTTACTGGGGTGTATTAGTTAGTTGGTTTTATAGCTGTCATTCATTAGGTTTAGACGTA